TATATATATATATATATATATATATATATATATATATATATATATATATATATATATAAATAAATATATATATATATATATATGTATATATATATATATATATATATATATATATATAAATATTATATTATTATATAAATATATGTGTGTGTTGACATGATGATTACCTGAGGGATTACGTTTGTTACTGATTATTCTGTTTCTGACAACACTGATTCAGCCGTTTCTCCTCTGCTTCTTCTCATATTTCTGGCATGTTTGCATTTTACTGAACAAACGAGCGACAGAAACACAGAGAATGAATCCAGCAGAACACAAACCCAATAAATCCAGCTCCACAGCGTCTGTTCAACATTAATAAAGATCCTGAGAGATGATGTTCAGCAGACACACACACACACACACACACACACACACACACACACACACACAGATAGACCCACATACTGAACCTGCCCAAGACTCTGCCACCATCTTCACACACAAACACACACACACACACACACACACACACACACACACACACACACACACACACACACACACACACACACACACACATGCAAGCACACACACACACCGCACATAAAGTCACCCATCAGGACATAGCACACACTACAAGACTAGGATCGTTATTTTCACGTCTCCACATACTTCAGTTTCTCATCAAATCTTCTGACCAATCAAATGCTCTCTAGCATATAACATGCCCCGCCCCCTTCTTCTCAATGGTTGTTCATTTGATGAGCTTGAGCTCAACCACTCTCGCTGGCAGAGTTCTGAGAAAAACAACACGCTTTTGGATGTTTACAAGAAAGGGGAGGACCTACAATAAGCCCCGCCTTCTCTTCATGTGTCAGTTCAATAGTATCTGGATGCAGCCTTCATGATGCAAGCTGAGATTGCATCACCCAGCAATAGAATGTCAGATTCAATGCACGCAATGGAGTGAGTGACGTCACGGTTAGGGGTGGGGTTAGGTGAGCGCATTAAAATGTATTGGATGCAGCTCAGATGGCACTGCACCAGGTCTGCATCCAGAACCCTCTCTGTCAGTAGAGATCATGTCAAACATCTCGAAGCACTTCATGAGACTTCATAAACAATTGAAACGCAGCACATTGCACTGGAAAACAGCTTCATTATTTCATGTGTGTAAATAAATGAAGATTCATAACACATTCATCAGCATACAACTCTTCAACAACACGTTAAATTGCCAATATGTGGTTGTAAGACCGCAAATCTTCTTATTTTAATGAAATAGCATGACGGAAGTGGACAGATCGGCCTGGCGGAGCAGGTTATGAATCAATAACACACTGCACTTACTGATGAAGGCAACCCAGGAGGAACTTTGCGCACTTTTTTCGTCTGGACTTCTAGAAAAACAGAGAAAAACACAAGACATTTAATACGATTTGATCCTGGGTTGAGTGGTGGGTGTAGACCAGAGTAAATTGGGGGGTCTGGCAGGGGCCACTTGTACTTTTAGGGGGCACACTTTAACATACATCACAAACTTCTTAATCATTCAAAGTCTTTCAAAGTTTTTTATGCATCACTCTGCAGTCTTCATAAACATAAATTCATTCATTTTCTTTTCAGCTTAGTCCCTTTATTAATCTGGGGTCACCACAGCGGCATGAACCACCAACTTATCCAGCATATTTTCTACGCATCGAATAGCCTTCCAGCTGCAACCCGTACACAGTGGACAATTTAGCTTACCCAATTCACCTATACCATGGACCGTGGGGGAAACCGGAGCACCCAGAGGAAGGCCACGCCAACACGGGGAGAACATACAAACTCCACACAGAAATACCAACTGACCCAGCCGGGCTCGAACCAGCAACCTTCTTGCTGTGAGGGGATTGTGCTACCCACTGTACTACCGTGTCGCCCAAGCTTAAACTTATTTTTGTTAATTCCTTTTGATGTATTTTTTTTTTACAAAAGTTCTTTAAGAATTGAAAGCAGACACTAGAAGATCTCCATTTAGACTTACTTACAAAATAAAAGCATTGCACTATGACTTGATGCTATAAATAGAGCATGAAGATAATGTTCATGTCTACAAGTGCAGTCAGAAATTAAGTTGTATTTTTGTAATAATATTTTAGAAGTAATTTTAATATTGTTATTTGATTTTTTTATTATTATTTACACTTAAACTTAATTATTTACACTAAACTTATTTAGACACTATTAATTGCCCATTTCAGCAGATGCAAACACAGAAATGAGCCTCTTAAATGCAAACTATTCAATATTTGCCAATTACAAAATAAAAGTGTTGTATTACCTGCAACAATAAAGACACAATATGAGTTGATGTTGTAAAAGTATATAAAAATAAAGTTAATACATCTATCTACAAGTGCAGCCACACATTACATTTATTCTTATAATAATATTTTAAATGTAACTTTAATATATATATATATATATATATATATATATATATATATATATATATATATATATATATATATATATATATATATATATATATATATATATATATATATATATATATATATATATATATATATATATATATATATATATATATATATATATATATATATATATATATATATATATATATATATATATATATATATATATATATATATATATATATATATATATATATATATATATATATATATATATATATATATATATATATATATATATATATATATATATATATATATATATATATATATATATATATATATATATATATATATATATATATATATATATATATATATATATATATATATATATATATATATATATATATATATATATATATAATTTATTTATAATTCCTGTTTTTAGCTTTAATTCTTATTTATTTAAGCTTAAACTTTTTTTAAAATAATTAATTCAGATGCAAACACAGAAACGAGCCTCCTGAACGAAAACTATTCAACGTCTCTCACTTACAAAATAAAAGTATTGCATAACGTGCAACAAAAAAGATACACTATGAGTTGATGTTATAAACAGTGCATGAAAATAAAGTTAATACATACATCTACAGGTGCAGTCAGACATTACTTTTATTTTTTTTAATAATATTTTAATATTTTAAATGTAACTGTAATATTTTTATTGAATTTTTATTCATTTATAATTCTTGTTTTATGCTTAAACTCATAATTATTTAAGCTTAATATTATTTTTTTTCTTTTATTTTGCTTCTTAATTAATTTCACAAAAGTTCTTTAAAGAATTAAATCATTTAAATCACAGTTGCCAATTTCAGCTGATGCAAACACAGAAACGAGCATCCTGAATGAAAACTATTCAATAATTCTTAAATACAGAATAAAAGCATTGCAAAATGACTTGATGTTACCATTAGAGCATGCAAATAAAGTTAATTCATAAATTTAAAAGTGTAGTCAGAAAATAATAATATTTAACTTTTTAAATATAACATTTTACTAGATTTTTTATCATTTATAATTCTCGTTTAAAGCTTAAACTCAGAGTTATTTAATCTTAAATTTTTTTTTTTCAATTAATCTGCTTCTCATTTAATTTGGATGTTTTATTTTCACAAAAGTACTTTAAAGAATTAAAATAGACACTATTAAAATCCTGTTGGCCCATTTCAGCTGATGCAAACACAAAAATGAGCCTCCTGAATGAAAACTATTAAGTTTTTATCAAATTACAAAATAAAAGCATTGTATTATGACGATGTTATAAAGAGCGCATGAAAATAAAGTTAATACAAATATCTACATGTGCAGTCAGAAATGATTAATCTACTCATATTTTAAATATAACTTTAATATTTTTATTTCATTTTTAATACAGTTTTTAAAACTTGTTTTAACCTTAAACTTGTATTTATTTAAGCTTAAATTTACCGTTTTTTTCCATTTATTTGGCTTCTTCATTAATTTTGATGTTTTATTTTCTTAAAAATTCTAAAAGAAATTAAATCAGACCCTTAAAAAGCCCATTTCAGCTGATGCGGAAAAGGACATGAGCCTCTTAAATGAAAACTATTCAATATCTCTCAATTACAAAATAAAAGTATTGCATTACCAGCAAACAATTAAGATACAATATGACTTGATGTTATAAACAGTGCATGGAAATAAAGTTAATACATACATCTACAGGTGCAGTCAAACATTACATTTATTCTTATAATAACATTTTAATATTTTAAATGTAACTTTCATATTTTTATTTAATTTTTACCATTTACAATTCCTGTTTTAACCTTAAACTCACTTAAATTTTGATCCTTTTATCACTTACTTTGCTTCTAAACGAATCAAAGTCAATTAAAAGAAAAAAACAACAAAACTGCTAATCAGGAGAGCAACTTTTATTATTTATTTATTTATTTAAGCCTGTCGTGTGCAATAAAGTGCTGTGTTTTTGTCCTGAAGGTTGGCGTGTGTCCTCAGACTGGCACCTCAAGGCCCGAGGGTTGTCATATTGTTAGAATTTCACTTGACAAACACACAAATAAAGGTCTTTTATTTCTTACACATACACACACACACACACACACACACACACACACACACACACACACACACACACACACACACACACAAATCAATAATCACTGAGGCCTTTTTTTTCGACAGACGAGATGAAGAAATGACAGCGTTCTTGAAGATCCTGACATGACGAGACAACCTTAACACGTCCAAGGACTTTAACAACAGCAGAAAACAACAGATGCATCTTGTGTGTGTGTGTGTGTGTCTACTCACCCATCGAGTCGCTGTGCAGTGTTCTCCGCCGTGGTTTCCTCCATAGTGCTGGTAATACTGAGAGCCCAGTTTAGTTGGAGAAACCGTCTCTGGACTGACCATTCCCACTTCACCTCCCATGAGCCCCGACTGCACAAAACACACAGGAGGAATGATGGAAAACATTGTCAGTGATCAATGTGTGTGTGTGTGTGTCGTAGAAACAATTATTGTTGGATAAATGTTTAAAACACATTAAAAGCAGATTAAATGATATGATATGCAACACTTTATCCTCTTAAGGCCCAAGGTGTTTTTGCATGCATTGTTTATTTCTCTTTGCTATTTGGGCTTATTGAAAACTAATTAGAATAAAAATATAAGTATAATCTTTTGATATGATGGACTTTTAGAGAGAAATGTCGTCGTATTTATGTGCACTCGTTGTCCAAATTTACATAAGACACTTTTTCCTGAATGTTTTTTTTAATGCATATTTAACATAGACATTTTTTTTTTACTTGCTTTGACTATCAGAGAGTGAAAACAACCTTTTCCCATTTTGGACAGTTAAAACTAGGGTTTGGGACATTTCGTATGTTGTAAAACAGTTGCAGGATGACACTGTATGTCTGTAACAAAATATCAAACATTCAAAGCATTTTAAACAGCCACTTAAGAGCTAAAATGTGGACACTCAAGCCCTAGGAGGTTATATGTAAGACAAATAAACTTTTGATGTTTTGGATAAAATAAAAATGATATACATATACAGTTGAAGTCAGAATTATTAGACTTTTAAAACATATTTCTTAACATAATAGTTTTAATAACTGATCTCTAATAACTGATTGATTTTCTCTTTGCCATGATGACAGTAAATAATATTAGACTAGATCATTTTAAGACACTTCTATACAGCTTAAACTTGTAATTATTTAAACTTAAACCTATTTTATTTTCATTTATTTTGCTTTTAATTAAATCATTAATTTTAATGTTTTACTTTCCCAAAAGTTTTTTAAGAAATTAAATCAGACACTATTAATTGCCTATTTCAGCAGATGCAAACACAGAAATGAGCCTCTTAAATGCAAACTATTCAATATTTGCCAATTACAAAATAAAAGCATTGCATTACCTGCGACAATAAAGACACAATATGAGTTGATGTTGTAAATAGTACATAAAAATAAAGTTAATACATCTATCTACA